TCAGCTTCGTCTACGTGAACACCGATTAGCAGTCTAACGCCATGACGAACACATCGACATTGACTCACTTTGACAACAAATCAGGAAAATTATAGGCGACATAGGATCAAGAAACAGGTCAAAAGGGGGATGCAATCAAAACAACAGTGCAAACAACGACAGGTTTAAGATCAACAGCAACCAGTCAAGATCGAGGTTAGCAGAAGAAGCTACAGGTCAAACACGGAGAAATTCGAATGCTTCTGAAGTTTGTGCTGATGATATTGTTCATAAGAAGATGAATGAAGGCTCCACAACCGAAACATCCAGCTCGGAGAACCAAACGCCACTACCACAATCATCCACCTGAGCTACAAATCTTGTCCACCATCTCAAATTCAATGAGTTTAAATCATTATTCAACAGTATTTTATCCTGGGTCAATATGTGTTATAAAGGTTTTCAGATAGAACATAAATTATCTAGTCAATACCAAAAACTTTGAGAATTTCATTGAAAGTGAAATTACCGTCCAAATATACAAAGACAGAGTATGCAAATTATTTTTGGGTGTAAGCTGCATCCACAAATGAGTCATAACTTGTGTCAGAATGTACACAGAAAATATGTGCAGTTTAACTAAATCAAAATTAGTGATATTACAGCAATATCAATAACAATATATTTCAATCTTCATCCATCCAGTGTTTGTCACTGATTTTGCAAACTGATCGCACTTCCGGCGCTTAGGCTGTCGCGCTGTCTACAAAAACTCTGATACTGTAATAAAGTGTATACCAGAAGATTTTATTTGTACTATTGGTACTATATAAATGATTTCATATAAAAGTCTTTTCAAACGTATGAATTCAATTAATTTGCAAAACGTTTAAAATCTCAGAACGTTAAACATATATTGCTGAACGTAATTATTTGTTTTCCAAACATCAACTTAATTTATCCTGCTTTGATGCTTTTCACATCAATCAGAATTTGAAGCTACTATCAGCTGATATTAATGGCCTTATGTTAGCATTTTCAGTAAGTAAACTTTAATTTATGTTATATCTTTTATTTTTTGTCAACTACCTAACTCATACTCTAACTATGTGAGTATTACACAACCAAAATTCAAAAATACTTTAGTTGCATTTTAACTGCATTGAATAATTTCAAACTCAGTACATACATTGGACATAGATTTGATTTTGAATGAAAGTGACAACTGTGTGATTTGTAGCTGAATTTGAAATGATATTTTGATGAGAGGCAATAAAAATTGTTAAAGTCTTTGAACCTTAATAATTTGAAATAGGTTATATTGTATTTCTAATCTTGAAATATCATGAATATGTGACTAAATTATTACTTATTTATATGAACTATTTTGTTTGTTCTAAATCATCAAGTAGAACGTAGGTATTGATTTATGGCTGGTTTTCTGTCACATACAACAAAATGTACTAGTAATCTAGCATTGAACATAGTTAAAAAAAATGATTCAATGTTCACTGGAATGTGGTCTCGTTATCTTCAAAGAAAGATTGATCTAGTGTGATTGTAAAGCAAACTTCATTGATTACAGATATTTACGGTCTTAAGATCATTGTTTCACTATAATTAAAAAGTAACAGAATGAAGTTAATGAGTCAAATTTGTGTCGTAGAAATACGAAGAAGAAATTATGAAGAATAAAATGGATGTTTTGAATGAAAAGAAAATGTTTTTCGAAGCATTCGGTAAAGTAAGTTATGCATATCAATACAGTTTTGTTAGTAAAAGCTTTTCCGCATGTTCATATGTTTACCATATGTTGTGAACTTGACTCATTAGTGAGCAGTTTTACATTCTCTACTTGAGTAACGTCAAATCACTGTACGAATGACAACTCTGAACGTTAGACTCCAACCGTTCAGAAATAAGAACACGGGAGACGTTCGAGAGCAATTATTAACAGAATCAAAAATAGACAATAAAACATGCGTATTTATACAATTATGCTAATAATCGATATTGTCCTTAAAATATTTAAACAATAATCAAAATAGTTCATCACTCGACTGCTCGTGAAATATTTAAGCATTGATTCGATAAGTTAATCAATTAACTATGTGCGTGGGTAACTTCTTGATGGCTATCTCTAGACCAGTTCACGTACAATCTAAATATGTTTTGAAACAAGTATTCTCGTGATATAAGAGAATTAGGTGATTAGGTTCAAGTATGTTTTGTGTGTGACACAGTATCTCATCTTAATGATAAGTTTTATTTTTTGGGAAAATTAATTTCTTATAAAACCATGCAATCTCAATTAGTGACATATAATAATATATCAGCCAATAATAGTCAAATCATATTAGGATGATAACTGTGTTCGATTGATTAACACGTGGTCAAGATGTCAAATAAATGTTATCCTTGCTACGAAAAAACTGAATATGCAGTTGGTACGATGTAGAGATTGATTAGTTGTTGTACATCAAATATTATATGATTTGATTCAATGAAGCAGTAGATAGGAGGTAAAATAATGATGTATCATTGTGTTTGTAACGACTTCATAATTGTTACGATCATCACTAGTGAGTGTTATTATATTATCACGAACAGACTTATTGTTGATGCTGAAACTTTTATTTTTGTAATTGGATTGTTTTGAAAACTAGTTCTTCGGAAGAAAAACAATTATCATGTCAACTACCTTGTCCCTTATTATTTGAATTAGAAATAATTCAGTATTTTGATTAGAACTAGTTACAAGATGACAATTTGTGTATCAGATTGTGATGTAATAGTGAATGAGAAATCTTTATACAACTGTTAAATTACCACTCAATATTTGAAGTGAACATTACGTGAAAGCAAAAAACGCGTGCACATTTCAAATCAATGTACTGATTTACTAGTTAAATGTGCACTACTTTATTTATCAGAATGTAAAATTATCATTGATAATTGTTAATTTAAGACAAGAGGTGCCCGGAACAAATAAACTGATTGATTGATCTCAGCATGAATATACAAATGAATAGATTCATCAATCCTTTTCTTTGGTTTTAATTTCAACTTCTTCATAAATATCACGTCAATACGTTGACATACATATAAACATCATGTGGAACTCAATCTAGACCATTTACTTTGATTTGCATGTAATAAAGTTAAGTAGAACTTTATTGTATCTTCATTGTGGTTTGAAGCGGCTTCACGATTTTGTTGCTTATCGGTCTGTAAACCAAAAACGTATTCTCTATTGAATTTTAGTTAGTCGCTTTTTGTATGCATCTGTTGAATTTTTGTGATTCTCTCTAATTTCGTCTATTCTTTGTAATTGAAGGTAATGTGTAATGAAGTCTCTCCTGAACTGATTGACTACAAGTTTCCTCAAAACTATAAATTCAGGTAATCTCTTTGTAAATATACATTAGCTGATACAAAATGCATTCCTCTCATGGCTTGAAAATGTATTTACTATTCCCCGATTGTTAACTGTTATATTATTTACTCAACATTATCTTTAATTTGAATGAAAAACGGTGTAGTTTTAGTGCTGAGTGTCGAATAATGAAGATAAAAAATGTTTTGTTCACAATAATGCATCATATTTTCACCAATTAACAATTTTCATTTTCAATTTTGATTTGCCTTGTTTAAAGCGTAAATGAAATTCTGAAACATAATGAAGAATTCGCCAAAACATATGGATGTCCATTCGGTACAAAAATGAATCCTCGGAGGAAATGTATTCTTTGAGGAAAAAAAATTATTGTCGATGCGTATAAGTGATATTAATTGTTTTGCATGTGTCCACGTCATTTTGTTTTGATAAAAATTTAGTGTGATTCTCTATCTTCTTTTATTATAAACATCTGTAAAGTAACTAGAGTTTATTATTTAAGTAGTACATTCGGATGGATTCATTCTAATACATTGGCTAACATTATGGCAAAATTATTGATCAACTTGAAGAACTCTACCTAAAAACAATTCTTTATAGTACAGCCTTAATATTTTACTGTACTAATAACAATAATGTACTCAAGTACTTTCAACTGACAGAAGACAAAAAAGGAGATGGCATGACTAACTTCTGTATTCGTTGGTTGCATTAACTCTAAAACAAAACTCAATCAATACACAAGTATATAGTTTACGGCGCACAATTACAATACAATATGATGCTTTCGAACAATGAAGTATTTATGAAGGAATTCAGAACAGACTGCGCTTCGTTCAATCACCATAAAATTGGTATTTTACAAGATGTGATGACAGTGTGTTAATCAGATAGAAACTGTGAAGAATACAACACAGTGGTTCTCCATGGTAATTATGAATACTCAGACTATCGAAAATAGAAATAATAGCATGTTACAGGAGGCATGTCAATTAACAGGCAAGATCAAAATGGAAGTAATGTCGTATTGAAATACGGGTTAAGGGATACCTCATTCGTTTTTATGCGTCCACTTATAATAAGGAAAATACACCAGTTGATGCGATTGTTACCCGCATCGACAGCGATTTTCCGAATGATCGTTCACCAACTTATTTTACATTATGGACATTATGAACAGTGATGTGAAATGTATTGATATATTGATTGACGATCTAGGTTCCTTTCAACAATGTCTTGGATCTCGAAATGATAATTTCACTTCAGACTAATTTTCGAGTCAGATGAAACGTACTCACGTATTTCATACTTCCAAACCACATTATGCTGTGATTCGAATAGTTCAGGATATCTGCATTGTGCTTGATTTGCCAGCAATTTTAACAGTATCACATGTTTAGATTATGGTCACGGATGTGTTAGTATATAGGTGACCGGTGTTTCTTTTGAGATAATATTAAGTGATAGTTACTGGTGCTGGTAACATTCATTTAAACTCAGCCGTCCTTCGAAAAAATGAAATCAAAGATTATGTAAGATGATATTATGGTACTTACTTACTTACTTACGCCTGTTACCCCCAATGAAGCATAGGCCGCCAACCAGATTTCTCCAACCAACTCTGTCCTGGGCTTCCCTTTCCAGTTCTGTCCAATGTTTGTTCATTCTTCGCACGTCTTTCTCTACTTCTTATTTCCTTTTGTCTTGAGTATTCCATGTGAGGGCTTGTCTCGTGACGCAGTCAGGTGCTCTTCGTAGTGTGTGTCCTATCCACTTCAACCGCTTCTTCCTGATTTCCTCCTTCACAGGAATCTGGTTTGTTCTCACCCACAGTACGTTGTTGCTGATGGTTTCTGGCCAACGAATCCGAAGTATTTTGCGAAGACAATTGTTATTAAACACTCGTATCTTCTGGATGATGGCTTTCGTATTTCTCTAAGTTTCCGCTCCATACAGCAGAACTGTCTTGACATTTGTATTGAAAATCCTGATTTTGGTTTTGGTTTAAAAAATGTTTGTAGTTCCAGATATTTTTCAACTGTAGAAATGCAGCCATTGCTTTTCCGATTCGTGCCCCCACATCTGCATAGGATCCACTTTGGTTGTCGACGATGCTGCTCAGATATGTCAAGGTGTCAACGTCCTCCAAGGCATCTCCATCGAGAGTGATTTGATCGGTGCATGTTGTGTTGCATCGGATAACTTTGCTATTTCCTTTATGTATGTTGAGACCTGCTGCTACACTGGTCGACTTCTCTTGCATTTGTTGTTGCGTGTGAGATAGAAGAGGTAGGTCATCCGTGAAGTCCATATCATCCATCTGCATCCTAGCTGTCCATTGGATACCGTGCTTCCCTACAGATGCTGATGTCTTCATAATCCAGTCGATCATCATTAAAAATAGAAAGGGTGAGAGTAATCAAACTTGCCTAACACCGGTCTTCACCACAAACGAGTCTGTTAGCTGTCCTTGGTGTGTGATTTTGCAGTTGAATACATCATAACAATTCCGTATGATTTTCAACAGCACACAGTAATGTGACCCTACTATAACATATGTTCCAACAGTTCATGTAAAACCTATTGACTTGCTATATATTTGAAAATTGACGTATTCTGGCATTGTTCCCTGAATATCCACTAAAAACCTAACGCACGCCCTCTTTCAACATTGGTGTGAGCTTGTCTGCTTGTGGTTATAGTCTATACAGACACGTACTAGAAGAAAATATCTGGTAATGTTCTGAACTTTTGTGTTTCCTGACGTCACTGATAATATTCATGCAAAATATGTTGACGTATCGATTTCAGATTACTGTTTACACTCTCTAATGACTTGATAAATCGACGTGTGATGTATGGCACTCAGGTTTATGCAATTATGATGAAGGTGATGAACCATAGTTGTAGATGGATTTTCTACCACAGCAAATCACTCCGTTTCCAATTGGTGCACGTTGGTACTCAACGTCCAGGATCCAATACCAAAACACAATAATTCTGGGAAAAATCGGTCTTTATTCATTAGGAAATGGAAATACAGACAATTACCCAACTATTATTACACCTTTCAAGTTCAATTTACCCTGGTGGGTATCCGCTTCTGGAAGAATAAGTGCTTCCAGTCCAAATTTCTACCGTAGCAAATCTGAAATGGCTGTAGCTACACTGAATATCAAATTTAAACAACATATGTACAGTTCAGAAGCAAACATAAAATCTTCAATATAAGTACAAGATATAGAAATAATAACAATATACAATGATAAAATATCAAAATGGAATCAAATGCAGTAAAGAAATGTCAACAGAAATAGTCAGTCATATCATAACACAAATATTTATACATGGATGGATTTTACAAAAAACAAAACATTCAAAAAAGATTCTACAATAGTTTCATTTGGCTTCGGTAATCAAAAAGTCATTCTACAATTAATTGTCCCAGGCTTTTTTCAATTCACTAATAATCGACCCAAATGTCGTTCGTCAATTTACAAATAGTCGACCAATGTCGTTCTAACAGCAATTATTATAATAACTTCATATACCTTCAATTTTAAAGGTTCCTGGAGCAAAAACACCAAATGAACAAACCAAGACAAATTGAAATCAAAATGGCTGAAAATAATAAATCAAACACCTTCGTGAGTGAAGTCAAACAAATATACCCAAAAAACACAGTGAAATTAATGTTCTTTATATAAAGGTTTTGACCAGTCAAATGTTCACACTTCTCCTCAACTTTTTCTTTCATTGTTTGCATTCCTACAAACCGGACTTACCCAAGTAGGTGAAATTTGTTTGTTTACTTTGAAATTATTCATTTCGCCTGAAATTTGTTTTTAGCTCTAATGAATTTGAAGTATTTGAATAAAGATGACTTAACTATGAAGTTGGAAATAATTTGTCTATATTTAGATGTCACATAAAACTAATGTGTGTTGATGAGTCTAGTACTTTTCGGTCGTTTATTTTCATAAGTTAATGCCTGCAGGCGATGGGGCTGAACACTTCTTTCTCCATCTTCTCTTTAGAACTCCGAGAACTATCACTAATGATAACGATGTAATAAAATTATCACCGTCAGAGCCGTGTAACTATATTCATTGATTATTCGCGGAATGTAGTGTTTGAATTAACTGCTTTTCACCCATAGAACTTTAATCTGACAATACCTAACACTGGCTGCATGAAACACCTTTTTTTGAGGCCCATAATCACGTTTACATCCTGTGACGTTTAATTTAGGCTATGATATTTAGGATATTTATTCTTCACACTGCACTCTACAAAAATAATTTAGATGTTTGTGATTACTATTTATTCACAATCAATATTTCTCCGACATTTTTAGTGAAATCCAAGTTGTCCAGCTGCGAACTCACAATGATTCCTAATTCATATGGTTGCAAAACGTAGGTCACTAACGGTTCGACAATGGTCCTCTCGTTTATCGTAATCAGTGGTTGAATACTTTGAACGTATGCCTGAAAATCGTTTTCTACTTCTTGCGTTTTTCCATACAAAGTCTTTTATTATACAACAGGCACTGTTTCTCTTCTTAATATTTTGCAATGTCATGAAAAAATTTAATTTCATTGTGCATACATTAGTTGTGAATTTGTAAGGCAGAATAATTTGTTTGCTTTCGGCTCGACAAAGTAGGTCGTTTCGCAAAAACTAACTAACTGTAGCTCGTCAAATCAAAAGTTAACACCAGTCAGAAAGCATACTAGGAACACCGTACCATAAATGAAAGAAAAGGAATTGTGAGACTGATAACAATAATAATTCAAAAATTTTAAAGAAGCTTACAATACTACTAACAAAGAGAAACAATTATGCATCGATAATATAAACAAATATACAAAAAGAGAATCTCTGAATCAAAAACAAGAGTTTTGTTATTCGAAGGAGAAAGGAATAATGTCTTATGATCAAAATAATATAATGGAGTTCCTGTGGAATCATAATAACATATTAGAAACATCAGTATTGATACTGTTTGAAATCAATCGAAGATAAAATATCTTAACGCATGATCAGATTGAAGGAAAGTTATCCATTGTATTCTACCTAATATAATATGACTGAGTTACAGGTTACATCAGATAATGAGAAAGTATAAGTCCAAGGAGATTTCAGCATAAGTGACATTGGAAAGATGATATAATTGGTTGCTAGGTGATGGTAAAAATTAAGGGAATTCAACAGGTTCAACACGCCTGACATATTTAGTTTTGGTACTACTAGTAACAACCGAATACGTCAGGAAGAGTTAAATATATTTTAGAAAACTTTATTCTTTCTGATTTAGGAAAGATAATGAATAAGGTTTCGAAATAACGAAAGTGCTTTTCAGAAATTTCTACGCTTTAGATAAATAAGAGAGTAAACAATGTAGTGCAATATTATATTTCTAAATGTA